GTGCATCGGTCATCGTGTTGATTATCGTATGAAGTGTATCTAGGTTGATGGACATCAACCTTCTCCCGTCTGATCTCAACCCATGCTCGAGCAAGCACATCTTCTATGATGGTATATTTGAACTTGGTGAGTTCCTTGTAGAGCTCATGTCGGGGAGGAGACCCTTTATGAATGCATCGATATTTGTCTCCTGATTGCAATACGAGATGGAGATCTTCTCTTACTTGAAGTGGCTCTTTATGGTACTGATAAACTCTACGCAAGTCGTCAGATAGCTTCTCGAATCTCTTACTATTGGTGAACTGTTCAACGAAGGTGTCTATGAGCTTAGTGAATGAGGCGATGGAGTTGTTGGAGAGGTTGATATACCATTGAAGGCTGGTCCCATAAGTCTAGAGCCGAAGCTTTTACACATGCACACTTAGCGGAGATCGCAAGATATAGTGGTAATGAACATCCTCTGCTTGTAGGAGGCTATGTGGTCATCTGGGTCAGTGGTTCCATCATAGAGCTTCATGTTAGAAAATGTGAACTTACGCAACATCTCTATGAGGGCTATGGTGTCGATGAAATGTGAGTTAACAAAGCTTTGAGGTTGACTCTTTTTTAGGGTTGTGGGCATGCAAGGGATCCGTTGGATCATGGCTTCCATCTCGGATAATCGTTTGGCTAAGGCTTGCCTCAAGAGGGTTACCATAGGGGTATAGAGGTTTGTGTTTTGTAGGTGAGGGAACACATTCGAGTTGATGTGTATGATTGAGCTGAACGGGACCAACTGGTGAGATAGACTCGTTACCGAGTGCAAGGGTTTTGTTTGCGGGAAGGTGAATGGTATGTTTAGTTGGTATTGTTGGAGCGGGGTTGTTTGGACGAACAATTTGGTGGCCAAGAGGTTGATGGGTTGGGTTGTCCCTGTTTGGGTCGACTCGGCTAGGTGGGTCATGGTAGTAGTGTTTGGGGTCGAATGGAGATGGGAGAGGCTTGCTAGGGTTTCATGATCCGAGGTTGTGAACAATTACCTTGGATGAATGGTGGCTCAAGATGAGTAGGCATGCTTCTGGCCTAAAGCCCAATCGAGTAAGTAGAATTGGTTTACCTTATCTTGGAGGGTTTGGTTTTCTGCATGGATGGCGATGCTCTGGGCTTCCAAGGCTTGGTACTTGTCATTGCTCTCTTGCACAATTATGGTGAGAGCCGCGATCTGAGCTGTAACATCAGGTGTAGGAGTTTCAATACTTCTACTCATAATGGTTGAGCAGAAGGAGTAAGAGTGAATGGAGCAAGTTGTTTGAGTCTAAAAAATTGTCAAGGCCCCACAGTGGACGCCAAACTGTAGACAGTAAAATCTAAGGTTGATTCGGAAGGGACGGATCTTGTGAGAAGCGAGCCATTAACAATCGAATGGACTTGTACAAAAAGAGAAAAGGAAAGTGAAGGCTTGGGTGACACTGGTGTGGTTTCTGCCATAGGCACTCCGACGCTCAAGTCAGCATGGTAGATGGTATTTTAGTAAGAGCTGAGAGTAGGAAAAGGGTTTACCATAATGTGGTTAGGGCTAGACTAACACAAAGGGGTCGGAGCATAGCTCTACAGTGGCTAAAGGTGGTAAAGTTAGTTAGAACTAAGCTTTACGGTGAGGAAAATGGAGATTATTAGGAGAAAGAATTTAGGAGCTAAAGCTATGAGTGATTTTTGAACAAATAATGAGAGGTCTAGCCTCTATTTATATAGTGAACCAAGAAGGCTAGAGTCCTAGTAGAATTGTGAGTCCTACTTGGGTGAGGAGTCTGAATTAGGAAGGAAGTGTTATTACTTGCCTTTACCATATTAGGGTTACCAATTCAAGTAAGATTCAGGGTCTTGACTGAAGTGGAAAGTAAATAGGATTTTGATTCCTATTTTGGGACTATTGTGGGTTAATGGGTTGGAGCTAGGGTTGTGAACGAGTTGAGTTTTGGCTTAAACGAGTTTGACTCATTTTACACTTCAGCGAGTTCGAGTCGAGTCTCGAGCCTGACGAGTCAAGAAAATTGAGCTTGAGACTCGACTCGACTCGTTTTTTACACAAGCTAGCTCGAACTCAATTTGAGCTCGTGTAAATGAGTTCTAGCAAGCTTGTGTAACCTTGTGTCCTAGGAAGAAATGAAACAGAGATCATTGCCGCCAATCTAACCTTCTTAATTCTCCTCCACATTCATCTCAAAATCAAAACGGAAGAAAAATAATATAAAATGAAACCCATTGCAAAACCCAACAATTTCATCTTTTTATCTCCTCCAGCACCTCCACATGTAGAAAAATAATATAAAATGAAATCCACTGCAGATCCCATCATTTTCATCTCTTTATCTCCTCCACCACCTCCACATGCAAAACCCAACCAAGAATTTCTATAGCTCCTCCAACATCACGAGACATACCTGAGATTCGAGACAAAGGAGAGAAGAGAATCAGAGATGGCGAATTTTTATGGCAAACGGAGACTCACGAGACCAGCGATGTCAACAACAGAGGGCCAGGGCAGGGCATATCACTAGAGACTTTTAGTTTTTAGGTTTTTTTTTTTTTTTTTTTTTTTTGCTTGGTTCTAAATTGGTAAATCCCTAAATCGATTTTGACTTATTTCGATTTTGTGGGGGTGCGTTTGTCATTTTTTAAAATTGATAAATTCTTATACCCCTTAGGGGGCGTTTGGATCATATAATATTCTATTATAGAAGTATATTATATTAACGGAAAGAAATATCACCTTAAAGAGTACAGAGAATGTTTAAAAAATGTGTTTGGTTGGTTCGAATAAATTGGAGAATAATATGTTTGGTTGGGAGAATAAATGGGTGGATATGTTATATAGATTACTAAATTGCCCTCCTTTTTAAATATTAATATAATAGTATTTTTTATTATTCTTTTTGAATTTTTTTTTAACCCTTTACATTTGAAATTTTGCTAAAACACTCCAGCCCTATAAAACTTTAATTTGTAGCAAAATCACCCCCACCCACCCCAAGCCACTATCGATAGCTAGCCACCACTGCTGACAGTCGACAAAATGGCGCATGATTGGCTGTATATGGCTTGCTGTGCACCGGCAAAGCTGGAAATGGCCATGGATCACAAATCCATAGTTGGAAAACAGCTAGATCTATGACCATTTCACGGCAAGATCTGTGGTTGTTTGGTTGTGAAATGACCACAGATCTGGCCGTGAAAAGGCTAGATCAATGGCCATTTCACAGCAAGATCTGTGGTTGTTTGGTCGTGAAATGACCACAGATCTGGCCGTCAAAAGGCTAGATCAATGGCCATAAGATTTGGCCTTTTCACGGCCAGATCTATGGCTCTTCCACGACCACATATTTGGTTGTGAAACGGCCATAGAAACGCCAGATCTAGTTATTTTCGGCCATAGATCTGTGATCCATGATCGGAAAAGGCCTTACCGGCGCACAATCAATCAAATCCCGCCAGTCGTGCACCATTACGGCGATTGACGCCGACGGCCGGCGGCGATGAGTCATCGCAAACGGTAGTCTTGGGTGGCTAGGGTATTTTGTTAACTTTTAAACTTTTTTGTGGCTAGGGTATTTTAGCTAATTTCTCAAATGTGGGGAGCTATGCTAATTGTTATTTGGTAGACATTTAAAGGCAATTGTGTCCGAAATGGTTTTTAATTCATGGCAAAATGGGTAGAAAAATCAGATTACCCCGATAATGTTTTAATAACACCCCCTAACAAGGTAATAAGATTACCCTCCACATTACCAATAGTAAACACTATTTGCAATAAAAGATTATTATAATACTTTATTATTTGCAAACCAAACACATGAATCTTACAAAATAAACAAAGATTCCCCCTGTTATCTTATTTACCCCCGATCCAAACAACCCCCTAATAGTTATAAAAATGTCATATATACCTGAGCTGACTAAACCTAGATTCAAGCTTGGCGAGCCAAGCATTGGTTGTTCGAACTCGGCTCATCGATGACCTGAGTCGAGCTCGAGCTTTTTACTAAACCGAACCGAGCCCAGCCGAGCTACTCACAAACGGCTCGGCTCGGCTGACACCCCTAGTTGGAACCCAATTTAGCTTAACTTGTAGGACAACCCAACTCCTGCAGTGGTCAGTTCACAAGGTGAATTTAAGCGTAGGCCCAACCGGAATTGGGTTAAGGCACTGGACCGTAGTATGTTTATTTCGTTATTGGACCTCGTCAGACCCAATACGATTTTTGGCTCATACACCAATCTATATATCTTTTAGCTAAAAGGACACAAGAGATTGTTAAACTTTATTGGTGTTTATATTAATTTTTTTTTTTTTATGACCAGAGTGTCTAAACTAGTTTATACGCACCTCGACTAATCCCAACTAATCCCCAAGGCTCATTGAACATCCTACAAGCCAAATGTTCTAAAGTAAGTTACAAATGTAGTAAGTGACCTCAATGTGATTCGAACCCAAAAAATCAATGAAGGAAGCAAATTTTATTGACCTCCATGTCAACCCCCTTTGGGGTTATTGGTGTTTATATTACATTGTCCCATTAACCGTGTTAAGATTTAATTTAATTATTTTAGTTGAAAAGCAGTTTATTCTCAACCCAAATCAGTAAATATTTTAGTTGGAAGTTCTTATAGTTTATTTATCACAATTAAACATTGTATCGTTAATCTTCATTAATCTCTCTTAAGATTTGATCTGATTTGAAATGTGTCGAATGCCTAAGATTCCCGTTTCAGATAAACCCCCTATTAACAGTCATTTGAAAATCAAGGCCCAAACAATAACCCAAGTCCGTAAAGAGAGCAAAGCCCAAAAACTAGAGGATAGTCATGTCATTTCAGTCGTCCTCCCCTCTTTGTTTATATAAACCCTATCCAGTGATTAGGGTTTTACACCAATGAAGCAATAGAGCCCTTCTTATTCTGCGCCTCTCTTTAGTCTCTTCTTCTTTCTTATTTTAATTTTGTGTTGTAGTTATTTATGTAAGAGGCAATGATGACTAGTTTACATTTCTCGATCCTGATTTGATCTTGTTTTACACGGATCAAAGCAATTAGATGTTAATTTGATGACAGCATTTGTGCGTGTCTGAGCCATTGTTAATTTTGTTTTTGTTTTTTGTTTTTGTTGTTATTGTTTGATTGAAAGATGAAGTGGGTGTTGCGATGATTAGAAGATAATTCCTCGTTCTGAATGCTTCTATGCATGACAGACTCCTTTTACACCCATAGAATATGAGTTCACCCACTTCAATTTTTTAATCTTTTTTTCTTTTGCTTTCTTTTTTAGCATTCGAATTTGATAAATTATTTTTGTTCTGTGTTGGGTATTTTTATTTAAGCTTCATGAATCCAAAAAGAGTAATAAGAAACATTGTGAAATTTTTATAAATTTATTAGTTAAAAATGAATGTTGAATTCAAAATTAATATAGAGAGGATTTATCCTATTAAATTTAAATAATGTATTGTTTTATTTCAAAATAATATTCTTACAGATATTATCGGGTGACAATATTATGCATACATAAGTTTGTTCCTATTGAGCGACTAAAATTATTAAAGTTGCAGCTGGGAAACAGAGAAGATTCTGTTCCTAGTTTTGAATTTTTCGAAAATAACTTCATGAAATTGTTTTGTTCTTCATTTGTCTCAACAAAGGATTTACTCTTTAACTTTTGAGTAGCCATTAAAAATGTAAATACTGTCCAAGTTGAAATGATAGGATGGATGGCTTAAGCTGAATAGTGCTAGTCCTAAAAGAATCATAGCTTACAAAATGGAATTTTGGAGTCGATTTAAATTGGTTTCTCCTCGTGGTTGTGGTCCTAAACTCGGTTTTTCTTTCTACTTTGAGCTTTTTTTATGTGGTAGTATATGGCTTGCTCACTAAATTAGTAATGGGGAACAAGTCGATAATGTGTCAACTGTCAAGATCAATATTAGATACCTGGTACAGTGGATTAATCTTGCCATAAATTGGATACTTTCCCACATAGGAATTGACACAGCTTGTATGGACAATGAATCAGGCTGCCATGCAGGCTCAACTATTGCTATCATCATTGACAATTTGAGACCATTATCTCCTATCAGAAAAATCGTTTACTGATCTCTGACTCATCCCCTCCAGGTTACCATTACCCCAACACAGAAAGGGACGGGTGGGTTCTTTCTCATGTTTAAGAATTGCAAGTTGGGACCAGAAGTCTTTGTTGGAAAAGAGCAAGAATCCTCACCCACTGTTTCTCTCTGATTGAGATATCAACAATTCATACCACTAAATCTTGCTGCCCATTTTGAGACTACATATCATGTTTGTAAAAGTCTCTACATTGTAGAACATGTTTCAACGATTCTATTATCCCATTTTGCACTATTCTAATCTTTATGATCATATAATGCCCAAATGTACAATTTATTCTTACATTTCAACTTTATCTCTGAGAAATCACTTCAATAATTCAGTGATGGGCATGCTTATCTGTCAACTTTATGCAGGTCTGTATAATTTGTAATCCTGCTTCTTTTGCAGAACAAACAAGCAATGAAAAACAAGTTAAGATGACAAATATTCATGAGTAAACTGTGAACCATCATGAGATAAATAGTTCAACCAGTACTAGTTTCATTTTACTTAATATTCTATGGGTCCAATTTGCAATTGAGAATAGGTCCCAGAATTGAGAAACGTGATGACTAAAGGTCAAGCCAAGTTCATAATGGTGCAATAGTGTCAGTGGCTGGGCCATTCTTGAGCCTCGAGGGTAATAGACAAACTGAAGGGCGCAGTCGAGTGCTCAGCCGGGTAGGCAAGCCACAAGAGTGCCTCCTGCCTGGAGTCCAGGAATCTCCATCCAATCTACCAAATAGATTAATACAAATTCAATAATGTTGATATCTGGGAAGCAACCCACCAACTGGAAAAAGATTGGAGAGAGATATATCAACATTATGGTCCAGGTCACCCAGCTTAGCCTCAATAATCAATATGTATTTTGGAAGTTACATATTATATTTGAGATGATGAATGTTACCCCACTATTTTGGGGTCTAGCCTGCACAAATCAACAGATATTTTACAGCTCTATCATGCGAAGAGAAGCTGCCCTTCCAACAACCAAATGTTTGGCTACCAACAAAAAAGTATGGAACAACTTCAACATATCATAAATTACTTCAATTCATAAACTATAGAGACCCAATAGGTTCATGAGTTTAAATGGCTAATACCTAACAATGTGATTAGCCCAAAGTCAGTACTTAGTAAATTTTAAAAACTACATGCTGAAGGAAGAACAAATCATAGAAACCAATCAGATAAACATAGTTGCTGCAAAGCTCTCCACTCGGATCCAGCTACTTCTGTCTTTCTTGCTCAAGTCACTTGCTGATTACAGAGATGGAATGGAGGAACTTAGAAGGGTTGAGCCATCGCCGATGCTAACTCCATCATGTGTCTTTTTGTTATCAGCCATTGAACTGCTCCCTGAACTACTATTTGAAAGTGAACAGAAAGTTGACTTTTGCAAGACACCTGTCGGAGAAGTTCCCAACTGTTGGCTGCTGTCCCACCCTTCAGTTCCCAGGTTAAGAGATGAACTCTTGCAGGTACCCACATTGTTAGTGGTATTGGTTAAGGCCTCACCTAAAGGACCACCCATCGAAGTTCCCCAAGACTTCGGTATCCAGTTTGTTAGCTTTTGGGTTGGCTCACTGAGATCATTGCTTAACCCCAAACCCACTTGGCTAGAATCAAACTCACGAGATAACCTAAGCGGTGATAGAGTCAGTTTCTCACGATTGGGAGAGGATGATGATGAGAATTCTGGAGCTATAGGAATTGACATTGATAGTTGGGTCCAATCTGATTTAAGCTCTTCAGGCCAAGTAAGTATGGAACGATTAGACTCATCCTTGGGCCAGTCATCCATGAATTTCCGAAGAGGATTTTGATCTTGGGTTTCATGGTCATTAAAGTCTAGGAAAGACCCACTATAGTTTTTGGAATTCGAATACGAGCTCCTCTGAGAAGGATTAAGGAGGGAGTCAGAGCAAAGAAATCCAAACACAGATTGAGAGGATTCTTCAAATGGAATATCTTGTTTCGGAACAGGGAAAGTAGATTCATTAGATTTCAGGTTGGTGGTGGAAGACATCATGGAGCCACTCTTTGAACCTTGCACTCTGCCACACAAATTCACTTTGCTTAGAAATAAATGGTAGAAAGATCCCTAGAAGGGAATAAGGGAAGATTAAAAAGCAAAAGATAAGAAAAACGTTAAAACTCTAGAATTTTATAATTATGTAGTTTTCATAATTTCTTTATCCAAATATCAGAATTACTCTGAAACAGAACAATTACAAATATATCATGGAATCCTAAGTCTTAACCATTAGGAGTAGTTTCTGTCACCAAAGTAGAAAGAAATAATTGGATCTCCTTTATAATAAAGGAAAAGGTAAAAGAGAGTATAAGTATGCAAACCATTAAGTGCAGCATCACCTTTAACAATCAAAGCATAAAATGATAAACAGATAAAAAACTCAAATTCTAAAAGCGTATTCTTCACCTGCTGACAAGGGCATCCACAGAAGGTTTGGCGGCACCAGGTTGTAAGTTTTTGAACTGGTGCTGGGTGATGGCTAGACTGTTGGATGCACCATCACTGGTTATCACAGATGTTGACACGGAAGAAGTCATTGGCACCACCTTCAAATTAGTGGTCCCAGAGGCTGCATGGCCGGTCTGGCCTTCCACAGGCTTTCTTGAACGATGGCGGCCCCTGTTTATGTGCCTTTCACAATACTTTTGGTCAGCAACAGCATCCCTTGAGCACCGCCATTTCTTTCCATCCGTTCGCCTACACCTACCTGGCTCAGGATCAGTGCTGGTAGCATAGCCTAGATGGAAAGACCCCCATCCATCTGTACAAATTTACAAATATATAAATAAATAAAAGCAGAAAAGAAACAAAAAAACCAACCAACCAACCAAAAGGAAGAAAGGAAAGAAGATGAATTTTATCAAGCACAGTGTTACCTTATAGCCAAATTACATCCTGGCTTTATACAATAAAACTTTCAAACAAAGATTAACAGAAAACTTTATGATTTCTGCAAAAATCAAAATTCATAACTGCAAATTCCAAATCTCCTGTCAATTGCAACAGAATGACTCTAAAAACTTAACGGAAGTGCACAAACCAAAACACCATCACTCTCACTGAACATAATTTTCTAAAAAAAAAAAATAAGGAACTCAAAAATAATATTAACAACACAAACTATACAGCATTTCAAACAAAAGAAGCTTACAGGAACTGGGAACACTAACAACACAGAGTATAGAGCATTTCAAAGAGAAGAAGCTTACATGAACTGGGAGAAAAGGATCCAGTAGATGAGTAAGGCATGCCCAATGGTTGGACGGACTTTCTGATGGGGATGAGCAAATTGGGTGGTACAGGCACATTTGCACTGATGTACTTGTAGATCCAGGCCTGGTGTTCTAGTTCAATCCACTGAGAAGGAGTGAATGGTCCTTTAACCCCATGAAAATCCCCATGCATGCCTACATTCAAACTTCCAGAACCATAACCTGTAAAATGATACCCAGACAAACTTAGTCTCATAACATTTACGGTATGTAATGGAAAAATTCAACTTTAACAGGATAAAAAGAAGCTATAAAGCTAAAAGTCACAACAAGAGAAAGGCAAAGACAACCAAATCGCTCACATTTGCTGGTACTATTAATTTCCCCTACAAGTCTATATTTTTAAACATTTTACCAGAACTAAAGAAAGAATTACCGGCTAGTGATGAAAGAAGGAAAAAAAACAGCACTTTCTCTCGACAAGACTCAAAAACAAAAAAAAAACAAAAAATTTACAAAATGCCCATGAAAAGACCTTCAACTGTAATGAGACCAAAACCCCATAACAGAACTAAAAACTTCATCTTGCACTCCAAAAATTTCCCATACCATCCCCTTGGACACACATTTCCCCAAAAGCCGTAGAACAGTTTTAACGAAACAAACAAAACACAAAAATGATATTATTAATATACCTGCAGGTCTAGGATAAGCAGGAGGTGTGCGGTGGTAGTAAGGTAACACAGTGGGTTGCGGGCTTCTCTCAAGAAACGAATTAGTACTTCTATTGAATAAAGCAATTTCTGGTTTGTTTGAACAAAAGCTGAGCATTTGTCCTGGTTGACGAGAAGTGTCAGCAGAAGCCGAAAAAATAGGATTAGATCTTAACAAAGGAATGCCTTGTTGCAATGACATTGCCTTGGAAGCTAAAGAGAAGTCACCAGTTTTGGGTATTTTTAAAGTTCCCCGGTCATCTTCACCAGAGCCGGATCTTTCTTGCTTAGAGAATCTAGATCCAACAACAAACTTTGTCACAGACTCAGGTGGTACTGAAACTGAAACTGAAGATGGAGCTCCATTTTCAGGACCCACCACAAGACCATCCAAACCCAAAATCCCAAAATCCATATTGAAGACACACACCAAGAAACACTAACAATCTAAAGAAACTCCATAAGGCAATATAAGTTAAATGGCAAATGAGTTTAATCAATTAAGTGAAATGACAAAGTACTGGTTTTTTTTTCTTTTTTCTTAAAAGCTCTAAACAGTTTCAAGTTGAACACAGTGAAGAAAGAAGCGCATCTTAAAAAAAAGAGAGTGTGTTTGTGTACTGTTTGAACAGATTATTTAGACTGATCTTTGAGATGGAAAAAGAAATAATTGGAGAGAGAGAGAGAAAAAAGAAAGAAAGAGAGTTGCAACTGATGGGAGGACAAAGGCTAGTAACAAACTCGCTCTACAACTCAGACATGCTGCTACTTCTACATAAGCAGATATTTATCCATGTTTTTTTCAGCTGATATTTTGCCTATTTCAAGTGTTAACTTACAAAAATCTCCCTAAACAAACACTGTCTCGGATTTTTTAACCTTTTTTAGGGAGTGCTTCAATTTTTGGTTTACCAAAAGGTTTGCCCTTGAATTTTTAACTATTATTAAGTTTAAATTTTTAATGTGGTTTTGGTATTTAATAATTGAGTTAATCATAATTGGTAAATGTTAATTGGGGTTTAAATAATTTATGTTATTTTCTTATCATTTAATTCTTGCTTTTCTTTTTTTGGTTAAAAATAGGAATAGTTTTATGTTTTCATGTTTTTATTTACTTTATTTAATATAGATATGCTAGTTGATGTATTACAATATCACATAAAATATAAAAAACAAAAAATTGTACATCTGTTTCCATCAAGCTTACTGAAAGTGAAAAATGTTATAGCCCATTTCAAAGACAACATGATGAATTTCAGGCTTAATAGTTAAGGTTTTTACTTTACATTTTACCAAGATTCTATCATGAATAAAGCAGAGGAAATATCTGATTAATATTTATTAACTTTATTATAAGTGGAAAAAAATATATTTATCAAATATTTATATAAGAAGAGAAAAACTAATTGAGAATAAAAGTTATCATATTGTTGAACAAAACCTTAGAAATTTAGGAATTGGAGTTTTTTTTTTTTTTTTTCATACTCAAACAATACACAAGGAGATCTAAATCATAAATTAAAAATATATTAACTTAAAATTAAATATTCAACATCTATCCCATGATGATTTTCTTTTTCTTTTTTAACCAAAAAAGTATATATATCAAAGATATAGATTTAAAATAAAGTTGAAATAAACATATTCAAAGATAATATTTAAAATAAAGCTTAAATAAATTGAATAAAACATTCTTCACCTTTCAGTCGTACCTTATCTATATGATTTTGCTGCTATTAACGATAATACTTGGTAGCTTATATATCCACTCCCTTGATTTTCATCTTCATTCCTTTTTTTCTTCCTTTTCGGTTTCTGCTTTCTCTGTATAACATTTTCATCAAAGGGAAACATTTTTCCTAAAAGTTAAGTATCACTGTTTTTCTAAAGTTGATATAAAAATGGGTATGAGCTGTGTGATTTTATAAATATTAATTTAATATGACGTCACCGGTCATCATTTCAAAATAGGTCATTGACTATTTTATCCTCAACGATATTTTTATATAATTATTTATTTCAATTTTTTTTTTTTTATCATACTATCTTGATGATACCCTAAATTAAGAAACACATAAAAAGACAATTATTCAATAATAGTTTGCACATACTAAAAATAAAAAATGTGTTGCCAAGATAAGGAATTTGAAAATGATTACACCTACTCTTTTACTTGGATGGAAAATAATAATAATAATAGTTTGACTATAATTTATGTGACATTCACATTATTTTTTTTATGATGAGACCACTTGTGTTTTATTTCACAAAAATAGAAACTTAAGGGACCAAAGGAAAATAAAAAGGGTAAGAAGGCAAATACAAGTTTATAGTTAGACTGAAAACTCAAGAAAGGGTAGTAAAGTAAACTCAAATAGGTATACTGGTTATGGAAATTTAATTTCCTTCGTACCTTTTAATAGGTTGTTTGTTGTGTAGCAAAACAGCATCTCTTGACAGATGAGTTTACTTTTTTGGCCTCCAGCGGTTTCAGTTAGAGTCATATCTGTCACTGATTAGGAGACGGGTAGTGGCATTGAGCAAATATCTGATTGCCACGTGACCCCTTAGTATTTAGTCTCAATGTCTTTGTGCACAATCTCAACTTGAAATGGGTGTGTAACAGCTAATTGCATTTAATTAAGATTTTAATGTGATTATGTAGATGGGTCTTAGCCCATGTGAACTTCAACCCACTGGGTTATTTCATCAGACAAGTGGTGTGCATGCATCACAAACGTACAATTTCTCTGATTCTTGTAAGCTTCTTCCCATGGAACTCAACTAATATTTGAACTACATTCATAATACCCTTTTATTAAGATAAGATCAGATTTTATATAGAGATCGAGACAAAACGTAACTAAAATGCCCAATCCTAATTTCTTATCAAATTATCTTCGAACCGTAAGTCTCCTCTATTGTCGACTTTCCAAACCCAAGTCTTTATCATTCATGAGAGTCGACCTAAATGGGTACGAAGAAATGGGCATTGGCAGAATTTTAATTAACCGATACATTAATTAAAGACCTGTTTGATGGGATCATATAGTAAATGCAGGTACAGATTAATTTATTTATTTATTTATTTCTGATCTAAGAGTAAGAAATATGGGGCGTGGAAAACCAATCAACCAAATAGTAGAGTAGATTTTATTGTCTGAAAAAAGAAATATATGGGGCCGTTTTCAGCAGAGAGGAGTTTCTTTTGGAAGGAGTTCTATGAAAATGAGAGGCAGTACCCACGTAATGTTTCCTTCAAAAATTTTAGTCCATTACATGTTTACATTAATGCCTCTTTTCATATATCCAAAACAATCACTTTTTAATAATATATTGCATTGAAAAACATTATGTTCTTATACGTAATACTTTTATCAATATTTAAAAGAAAGAAAAGATTGGCATGATGTTTATTTAAATACAGATTTTCTTTTTCTGCTACTTGTTCCCGAAATTTCATTGATAGGATGCTTTTACTATTTATCTTTATTCTATATAATTTATCAAGTTTCACCTTACTTCTCTTGCGATATTATATGCTAATTTATCAAGTTTAATAATTTGAAAAATGAGTAAATGACTTTTTTCTCATCCAAATAATGGTCTAATAACACTTTTTCACCCACTAATTTTTAAAATATCATTTTATTACCTAAATATTATATTTCATTAAATACAGTGATATTCATTGTGAAGACGAAATTTTTTTTACTATTTGACTTAAAAAACTTATTATTAAGATTAAATTACAAAATTGTCCCTAATTTCTTTCTCCTCTTTCTTCTTTTTTCTCCTTCCTTCTTTCTTCTTTTGTGATATGTTTTCAAGCTCATCTCTTTGATTCCGACGACGAAAATTGCCTCTGATCCCATATTTTGACTCACTGGCGCCCCACCTCTAAAACCTTCATCTCTATTTCTCTCCTGACCGCCTTGACCCCACGATCACCGCCCCCTCCCAATTAGGGTTTTGCATAGTTGTTGCACTTCCCAACCTAATTCTGATCGGCCACTATATTGGAAATCATGCCTGAACCCATGGTTTGCTTCGCCATCACCCCCTCACCAAAACCCAACCCTCCACGGATCTTGTTTGCCCATCAACTGTCAAGCGCCCCCTTCCTTTGGGTTTTTTTGGAGTTTGTTGTTTGTCGGTGTGATTGGAAGTTGATTTGGTGTTTGTTTTGGATTGGATTTGAAGTTTTGTTGTTGTTGACTGCTTGTTTGTGTTTTTTTCGAACTCCTACTCTCTGTCGTTGACTGCAACACTCACCATCCCATACTTGCACTCCATCTGTTTGAAAATCCCGAGCCACCGTAAACCCTTAACCCTAAACTACCAGTCAAAAGCTCAATCATAACACTTCTCAAAGAAACCCTAGGGGAGGTCGTCGGTGAACAGAGACCAATCTCATAGCAGGCTATTAAGGGAAATATAGAGGAGATGCTAGTGAAGTTATGGATGGTAAGAAGGTGAACTTTGGTGGTCGAAAATCGCTATAATCGGCCAAGGAAGAAACCATCGCACAATTGTCGACAAACAGTAAGGTTGGTGGGGACGAGGCAGTGGGGACGAGGCAGTGGGGTTTTGACGAGTGTGATTTGGGAAAGAGACTGGTGGTGGTGGGGTAGTGCGATGGTGCAGGAAACGGTTGGCGGTGCTAACCAGCAGTTGTGCAAATGGAGGCGAGGAAGAGGAAAAAACTGACGTCACATTTTTTATCCATAATGTTAATTGACCATTATGTCTTTATTTATAACGAACTTTTGACTATTATATCCTTATTCACAATGAAATTTACTAACAAATCTATGTTGTAGATAATAAAATAATATTTTAAGAGTTTGTGGGTGAGAAAGTATCATTATACCCGTATTTGTGTGGGAAAAAAGTGATTTTCTTTTTGAAGAACCCCTTTCTAATAGAAGATTAAGAAAATGGTACTCCTAAATTATTTCAGCCAAACGGATTTTATAGGTTAATTTATCTCTGTTCATTTAAAGGAAAAACAATATTTAATTTCTATATCATTTGTCACGTTTTTATTAAAAAAAGAATTAATTTTATAATAAAAAGACATTGTGGAGTGACGGTGGATTTGATAGTTGAGACATATGTGGCGTCGAATATTTCAGTGGAACAGTAATAATTTAATTGGTATCATAATTTTACCCGCGGGGAAGTTTGGGAAATCCACAGTAAAAAAAAAAATAATTAATAGAATTTAGAATGTGCACAAATTCCGTTGAGGGTTGGGTGAACTGAAAAGGAAGACAAATGATTGAGAGGGTAATTAAGTAATTGCAAGTGAGCTATTATTTTTGTAATGAGAGGGAAAAGGAATCACCTTTTTTCGTAAGACATGCTGGGATTGTAGGGGTCCACCTCCTGCCCACGTGATTATATTATAAATCAAATATTATATTATAACTAGGAGTAAAAGTGATGGATTTGTCCTCAAGCTCGTTTCAGCGCCTTTCTGATTTGGTCAAAGCACAAGGAGATGGTGACCTTCACTTCCTTTTTCATATAAACATTAGTTTTTATTTATTTAGTTATTATCTTTAATTTTATTATCCTAACACTTTATTATGGATAATAAATAGATAAATGTAATAATAGTAGAATGAAGTTTGGATTTTGATTGAAATTATTTTGGATTATAAGAGAAGTGGGTCAAGGTAAACTAAAACTGAATCATATGGAAAATCTCATATGAATACAAAAAGGTACAATCAAACTTTCCTTGTTAATAATACCGTCGTTGAATTTTTACTTGTATTAAAGAAGAAGAATATAAGGGTTCATAAATTTGATGGTCCATCCATGGCCGACTTCACTTGGGGACGAGTTCAATGCCAAAGCAAACAATAATTCAATGCGACGCCAAAGCAAGTGTTCTGCCTCCCCATTTTTACCGTTCTGAAATCAGAATGTTAATTTATTCCCTTTTAACGAGTTTGAAAATTAATAAAAACAGGTCTGTTTGGGTTTAGAAACTGAGTGGAGGTTGACGAGTGAAAGCTGTCGTCCTGAACTTGGAGGTTTAATTGAGGTGAAATTGATGGAGATGGAGATTTTTGACCGAGGCTTCCCTGTTGTGACTTTTGGAATCTTAGTTGTTTCGAATAGTTAGGCCCCCCCACCGGCTCCCGGTCTTCAAAATTCAATCAGATGTGACTTCTCTTCAACCCCACCACCACCCACCCATCATCATTCTAATGCTGCACTAATTCATTCAATTAAATCTGTGTTTTCGATTTCATTCAAGTTATGTCATCGATATGACAAGCAAATTAATGAAAATAAATAAATAAATAACAGTGTCTGAAATCATGGGCCATCCAATGAAATGTTGCTGGTTTGAAGCAAGAAACATTATTGACCTTGAGAAAGTGTACCCCTGTAACCCAACATCACACAGCATAACTCTCTTGTTTAAGGTCCTCCACAGTAGTACCTCTTTTTATTCATTTTTAATTGCATCGATAGGTCGTCTCTAAAATATTTGTGATCCTAGACAGAAATTATTTTGAGGTCCTCTAATAATATAAGCATATATTAAAAAATTTATTTCATTTATTTTTGTTTTTTTGCCTTTTGAAATAAAAAATCACTAAGAGAGGTGGACAACAATCGGCAAGCTAACAAAGTTAGGTTGGTGGAGGGTTTTGGAGAGTAGATGTTGGAGAAGTGATGGGTGATGAAATGGGTGATTTCCAATGCCAAGATTGATAAGAAAATGCTTGAGAAGTCACGACCCAAAAGGTATCGGTGGTCGACCATTGACAGAGTAAATAGATGAGATATGATAAGAGTTTTGGTAAGAGGGCTGAGGGGAGGAAGATGGTGGTGTCGGAGAAGGCCAACAATGTTGGGTATATGCCGAAAAGACTAAAGATGGTCGTCGTATGGTGGAGTTGGGTTGCGAGATTCATCAAAAATTGGCCAAATCAAGGGCTATCAAGGTTGGGAAATGATAAAATGATGATTTCGGTCGATTTTGGTGAGAAAATCGACCAAAATCAACTCCAAACCACCGGCGGCAGAAGAGGACTGGAGATGATTTACGTGAATGTCGAATTTTGGGATTAAATTGGGGGTGAGTCATTTGAGATTTGTAAATTACTATTTTAGCTTTTCATTATTAAAAGAGATTCAATGTGTTAATTTAGGGGTATAAACTAGAATATATGAAAATAGATGTACAAACTTGCTATTTTGTCAAACTTTGGGTGGGAATATATGCAAAAAGTTTATAATAAATTTGGTTTTTTTTGGTTTTTTTTGGGGGCCCCTTGGATTGGATAAGAAATTATAAACCATTTTTTATTTTTGTAAGATATTCAAAAAAAAAAAAAATTATAAAAAATTTGGGCCCCTTTTTTTTTGGGGCCCTAGGCAGGTGTCTCACCTGCCTACCCCTTAAGCCGGCCCATCGGCATTGAAATTGATCAAAACTTGGCGATCCATGAGAGTTGAGAGTTGATGATGGTATATGCATGATATATGAGATAGCAATATGTCAAAAAGGACGCATCATAAACACATCACGTGCTATACATAAATGAACCAACATGTATAAATACTCCATTAATATCACTATACAATCTTTGTACCTTCCATCGTCACACATTAAATTATGTATTTAAATGTGATGGGTTAATCTGAGTTTAAAGGTTTCCCATTTCAAAACAGGAGACATTGGCCGTGTTGTGTTGTGTTGTGGGGAGGGAACACAAACAAAAACAATAAAAAAGGGGAATGTGCTTAAGAATAAGCCAAATCATGGGTCTCCATCAACACCAGGAAGCATGTTGGTTCAGTCCTTTCGTAGGGGACCCCGGCCCCGGCCCCGACCCCTTTCCCACTTTTTTTTTTTTTTTTTCAAACTGTCTTTTCAATATAACTTCACTCACTCACTTGTAGGTTTACGTCAATACTACCTATGCTTATTCTATTTCTTTTTATTTTATTTAGGGCTCGCCTATAATTTAAGAGTTAAGACTAGGGTTATATGTGAGCCGAGCCATGTCGAGCCGGCCTGACTCGACAAAAGTCGAGCCAATCTCGAGCTCAAACAGCTCGATTATCCATCGAGTCGAGTCCCGAGCCACCAAGTACTTGATTCAATAGGCTCGCAAACAGCTCGAAAGGGTAAAAGTACAATGTTTTCAAGTTTGAGGGGATTTATGTTATTTAACATTTACTATATAAATTATTCCAATCTGCAAAAACTCTAGAGTCTTTTGCTTCAGCAGCCGACACTTCTCCTTCTCTCCCTCTCTTTTTCTCTTTTCTATTTTCCTTCTTCTTCTTGTCTTCTCTTTTCCGTCTCTTCTTGTCTTCTTGTCTTCTCTCTTCTCTTTCCTGTCTCCTTTTCTTCTGCGAAATGCTTCACATGTTGAAGTGATTGAAGTAGTAATTTCACAAATGGGTTTAATTTGTTTAATTATTTTATGGTAGATTTGAGTTCATCTTTTGTTCAAAAAAAAAGAGGATGTGATATGTTTGTTTGTGATTTATTTATAATTATAAATGTAATTTTGATGTGAAAATTTGGTTGGGTATTTTGGTAGATGAGTGTATCGTAATTTTGATGGCACAGACAAAACTCAACTTTTGATTTTGATTTTTAATACTATAATTTTGTTCAAGAGGAAGAGTAAGAAACAGATGAGCCGAGACAAGCCGAGCTCGAGCCGAACTAGAGCTCAGCAAATCATCTCGAGCCGAGCTTCGAGCCTGGTTTTCAGAGCTCGACGAACCCAAGCTTGAGCTCGCTAAATTTTCATGAGCCGAGCTTTGAGCACCTTTGTGTTCGGCTCGGCTCGTATATAGCCCTAGTTAAGGCTACCTAAATCAAAGAGAGGAATACACATAAATCATAATTTAAAATTCAGTCCGACCTTTCACAATTTTTGGCTTTAACACTAGTGTTGTAACATGTCTTAAGTACATATGCTATAAGCTTATAAGGAAAAAAAAAATATTTATGAAAAGTGATTGTTAGACTTTTTATTTTTTAACCCAAGGGGTTTGCCTAGTAGTCAAGAATGTTTACTCATTTTTTAACTTCTTGGGTTCAAATCATTTTTGGGACACCTACTACATTTGTGACTTATTTAGAATATCGGGCTTATAAGGTATTCAATGAGCTCTAGTGATTAGTTAAGGTACGTACAAACTAGCCCGAATACCCTGGTTATCAAAAAAAAAAAAAAAATTATATATTTGTTAGACTCCATCTAATTTATCATTATCCTTGTTTATATTATAAACAAAAATCTCTTTAAACTTCAAATAATACAGGAAATAGACCTGTATGCTTAATTAGTTTTTTTTTTTGTTTTGTTTACACTCCATATTTTCCCTAATTCAACTTTGAAACCTTCTTTTTCTTTATATCCATCCACAAACAAATAATTAAAATAAAACTCTAAATGATTTCAATGATATGGAAAAGTTAGAGTTAGGGTTTATATAAGAATTAAAGAGTAAAGGATGAAACAAAAACATATAATAGAGTATTGATGTGCTTAGAACTTATATTGTCAAATTTAATAATTTTCATTAAGTCTAAACTTATATATATATAAAAAAAAAAAAGGTACATTAGTTGGGGGCTGAAAATCACTTCTCATTACTTGTATCAATGTATAATTTTTTTTTTTAATAAAAAAAAGAAAAGAAAAATCAATACTTTCATTGGATACAAGTTGGGCCAGAAAACGAAAGCCCTCCATAAACCAATTCCCTCTAAATGGACTGGACCCAATGCAGAAGTTTGATTTGGGCCCAATTCAGCTGGGCCTTAATACAAACCACCAAACACAGTCGTCTCCTCTACTCCCGCGGGTCCCGCCACACAAAAATCGCCACTTTGTTAGTTCGTTATTACTCTTATTTCTCGATCTAATTCAGAAAAATCGAAACTGCAAAGCTATGGCTTCAGTCTTTGCTGGAGCTCTACAATCAACCAGGCTTTTGTCCTTCGCTTCACTTCCCTCTCCCAAATTCACTTCCCATTCTCTTTCAAATTGGTGCCTCAAGTCTCGTCCTCGTACTATCGCCACAAATTTCTCCTTCAAATCAAGAAATAGTGCTCTCAGTGGATCGCGTTTTCTTGTAAGAGCCATCGCAGAAGAATTCTCCCCTGATGTTGGACAGGTTCTAGGTGATGTGAGGATTTTCACTGCTGCCGGTGAGCCGGTCTTGTTCAAGGACCTCTGGGACCAGACCGAGGTTTAAATCCTGCTTCAATTATGAATAACTGTAGATGCTGTTGGAATTTGTTAAAGTGTGCATTTTGTTTTTTTAGTTTCCGGGTTGGTATTTTAATAATGGGCTCACTACATAGGGAAAATTATTTGATAAAAAGAGTTGGTTTTTGGTAAAATTACATTTTATCACTTATCATTTCTATCTTAACAACCCTTAGTTAAATGCATGATTTTCTTTTCTTCGTTTTTGGTTTATCTGTTTCAAATTTATGGATATTAAACCTAAGAATTCGGTTTTGATTAGCGGGTCCCGAGGTTTGTTGAAAAACTAAATTTAAAGGGTCCAAATAAGGTTCATTCATGCAACTTTCAATTATCACTGCACATATTGATAGGTATTTACTTAGTTTAAACTTTTATGTTAATACTTCAAAATAAAGAAGACCAGAATTTATGGAGTTGGAGTTACAATTACTTCTCACTTAATTTTTGACATGTTTTATTAGTTACATAACTTGATATTTTTTTTCCTTAAAATTAATGTTATAGAGATACAAGAGACGAGTATACAGTTCTAGGGTTTTATATTTGGGAGTACACCCTTTAGAACTGATAAGCTATTGAATCCTAGAGGTTAGATGCTGTATGAGTTTATTTTGCATTGAGACATGGTCCTAGAATGGTGAAATCTACCATTAAAGACAGTGCAATTTCGCACACCTTAGCTTTTTATATGTTTAGGAAATTAGCATAATTAAATTCAAGCATCCATGTGATAAAAAATTTCCCAATACTCAGTTCATGTCTTTAGAAGATTCTTGTTCTGAACATTTTCCTTTAGTATTATATTCATTTTAAACTAGATGTAGTTTATATTTTTATAGAGGGGAGAAGTTTTGAATCATTTTCTTAAATCATTATTACCTTATGAAGTTGTTTTATTTATTCCAGGGAGTGGCTGTTGTTGCGCTTTTGAGGCATTTTGGATGCCCTTGCTGGTAATTATTCTTTTCAAAAGCTATTGAGAATAATTGTTAGGAAGTTAAATCAGTTGTATCTAATAACTGATTTTGATTGTTCTTTTCAAGTTGGGAGCTTGCTTCAGCATTAAAAGAAGCCAAAGCAACATTTGATTCTGCAGGCGTGAAATTAATTGCAGTTGGCATTGGTACACCTAATAAAGCTCAAATACTTGCTCAGCGGGTATTTTTTCATTTCTACCATGTGCATTGCATGAAGGACATACATATGTTCGTCTCTTTGTGTGTGCATGTACATATACATCTTTTTTCTCTTTATTTTGGATGCACTTACTTCAACTATTTCTTGATAAAATAAGAAGAATATTCTGGAGTAAGCTTGACAATGTTATGGGACCCATCCCTTCCCACCTTTTGGCCAGTGGATCATCTGCTTGATACTTGATAGATGATACCGGAATTAACCATTTGAACAGTTCAGCATGTCTTCTGACAATTTCATTTAAATTCATCGAAATGCTTTGCAAACTTTACATTTTTTTGATAACTAAAGGAAATATGTGTTTCGAAGTCTCTGTTGTAGAATCTTTTTTTGAGTAAAAGTACAGTTTTCTGTAAAAAAATCATTTACGAGTGTTTTGCGAAGAAGTACCGATCAAGTCTTTTTCTCCCTCTCCTGAAAAGCACATTCTAGACTAGTACCTACAAGTGTTTCTCTAAAAAACACTTAAACGCATTTTTGATCCTCAAAATCACTTTTATCTATTTCAGAGACATGAAAATACTTATTCACAATTTGGAAGTGTTTTTAGTGATCTTAAAGTATTCCTACACACTAGATTGCTGTCATTCCGAAGTTAGGTGATTATATGCTCATGTCAATAATAAGATATCATATCATGTCTGCACTATACAAAAACATATTGCTTTTTTTTTTTTTTTTCCTAAACAAACATAGCTGGATTTGTGTGAGACCTTTTGAATTTGATCTTTGTGACAATTCCCATCTTTTAGAATGATGTTTTAGTGTCCAATATACAGTCTTAGCTATTGGAACTGTTGCCCTTAACAATATATAAGAAACAGTATGGAGATAGCTTATTGTAACTGTTTTTTCAGGAACAAATAATTCTTAAGACATGGTATTTATGCTTTTCAAAGATTAATTAGCTTTGTTTTTCTTATAAAAACAGTTTGATGTACTTGGGATGTGTATTGGATAACCCTCAGGGTTGGATTGAGGGGTCAAGACCTTTAGCTTCCAACAGAGAGGTTAGGGGATCAAACCTTTGACATCACCTACTCAGGATATGATATTTCACAAGTTTTTGTATTACCAAGGTTGCAGAGCTTGCCAGATCTAGTTTAAAGTTAGTGGTTGGTGATATTCTAAGTAAGGTTGGTTGATTTCTGGGTTTGAAAATAAAAAATAACAAATTAATAAAATGAAGAATGTATAGGTTTCAAGTTTGATGGCATTAGAACAGTGATAAACTCAATTTTAATCATGGAAAAATGATTATTGGATTGATCATGCCTTTGCAATATGCTTATGGCAACAGAGATCAAATACATGGAAATGTGAAACCAATTTTAGGGTATTCAAAGCCTTGATTGGGTGCAGATTTTGTATAAATATTGTTCATAAGGGCCTTTTCTAGATGCAAGGAGCTGATTGATTTCTTTCTCATGTTGTTCTTGGTCAGTAACCTTTTACAATGGTTGCCTTTACACTGATCCTTTTCTAGATGCAAGGAGCTGATCGATTTCTTTCTCATGTTGTTCTTGTTCAGTTACCTTTTCCAATGGATTGCCTTTACGCTGATCCTGACTGCAAGGTATGCAATAACACTTCTGTGGAATATTGTCTCTGCTGATTGTAAATTCTGACGATTTCTTTTCTTCACAGGCATATAATCTGTTTGGCTTATATTATGGTATAGGCCGAACATTCTTCAATCCAGCAAGTGTAATCTTCTTCTTCTCTTTCTGCAACGTGTGTTTTTCTTGAGGGGATTCATCAGAGTGTTGTATGATATGCATGCTTTTCTGACAGGTTAAGGTGTTATCAAGATTTGGGGCTCTGCAGAAAGCTGTAAAAAACTATACCATTGAAGCCACCCCAGATGATAAAAGAGGCGTACTGCAACAGGTATAATTTTTTCTTTGTTGCAATTTCTGTTCCCTTAACTGGACATTGAATTGGTTTATACTTGGTAAGACTTCTTTTATTCTTGTTCATTTTTACTAGGGAGGGATGTTTGTATTCAAAGGAAAAGATTTGCTGTATGCATGGAGAGATGAAGGGACGGGTGATCATGCCCCTTTAGATGATATCTTTAGTATTTGCTGCAGGGTTCCCGCGTGAAATAGTCAAATAGACAGTAGTCTTCGAGATATCGGTATTGTTACTGCATCATATAATCTCTTTTTATATGTCCTGCTAAGTACTACTGTTGCGATCTCCAGAAATCTCGCGTACTGCGTGTTGTAAATTCATAGTTACGGCAATGATCTTATCAACAGTTGATCATCAGAACAAAATTATTTGTACACAAAAGAATAGTAATTAAGTATCTTGGCTGATAGAATGGTGAAAGAATAAAGTTGTACCAAAATTAACTTTTGCTTTCACGAATTCTTGTAAAGGTGAGGTGACCTCCGTGACGTGGAACCAAAAGAGACATTTTAAAGTGGTAAAGGTAGCATATGATTTAGTAAAGTTAAAATACAACCTGTAAACATTAGGGGAAACAATAAAAAGTTGTGATTGGGATAAAACTAATATTTCTGAATATTTTACTACAATGTTGGAAACTTTCATGTGTCCTCTACTCCTCTGTCAATCAATATTGTAGAACTTCGAATTTGGGATGTCTCTTAAACCAGATTACAAATGTTTAACTGTCCATCAAATAGCACCCAAAGTCTCAAACAACTTTGTACGTTAAGCTATGGAGCACAACATAACCATGCACAATCAGGAATATATTAATTTCAATAAAAGCCATCTGAATCAGATACTAACGTAGGGCCAATGTGGTATTCAAATATTAAAACTGATATTCCCGTCTCAGGAATCGTAATATACTTTTTCTGAGGTCGATNAAGAAGTTGTGATTGGGATAAAACTAATATTTCTGAATATTTTACTACAATGTTGGAAACTTTCATGTGTCCTTTGTCAATAAATGTTGTAGAATTTCGAATTTGGGATGTCTCTTAAACCAGATTACAAATGTTTAACTGTCCATCAAATAGCACCCAAAGTCTCAAACAACTTTGTACGTTAAGCTATGGAGCACAACATAACCATGCACAATCAGGAATATATTAATTTCAATAAAAGCCATCTGAATCAGATACTAACGTAGGGCCAATGTGGTATTCAAATATTAAAACTGATATTCCCGTCTCAGGAATCGTAATATACTTTTTCTGAGGTCGATGGCCGAAGAAGAAGCATTTCAATTTAACCACTCGTATATACTCATATATAACCAACCTTTTTTTTTTTTTTTTTTTATATATATTTCAATTTGATGAATTATCATATTTAGATATCATTGCTACCCAGGTCATTCTCCATTAATGTCAGATAGATATAGTAGAAATTGTTGGATGACAATTATTTCCTTTTATTCATATATTTTCAGGTATGATATTTTATTCTTTCTCCGGAGTTTATCTCATCTCAAGTGAAATAAAAATTAAATTACGATACCACCCTTCAGTGGGGCGACAGTGTAACAGTAACGAGTTTTAACAGGGGTTAAAAGGACAAAAGAGAAAAATGCTAAAATTAGAAGTTTGAGTGTGATTGGTGTTGTGAACTCTTGATATTAATATTATCAAGAAACTTTCACTTTTCTTTTCTCTATTCTCAGTTTCATCTTCCTTCAAGGTTTGCTTTTAAGTGTTCTCTGTTTCAGAGGCTATGGATTTCTCTGAGAAAACAAAGTTGTTTGTGGGAGGTGTCTCAAGGGAAACTACTGAAGAAACACTGAGGCAACACTTCAGCAGTTTCGGACAAGTAGAGGAATCTTTGATTATCAGAGACAGGCCTACTGGCATTGCACGAGGTTTTGGTTTTGTTAAATTTAGTAACCCTTTCATGGCTAGAGAAGCCCTGCGGACTCAACATTTTATTCTTGGGAGAAAGGTTAGTTCAAAGGAAGTTACTTTACTCTTTACTTTGATTTTTTCATCTGGGTTTTGGTTCTTTTTGGTTCCTTCTGTGTTGTAGCATGATTATGTATGTGGATCTTGAGGCTTTCTTCATATGGTATATATACTACATTTATCTTGATTTTATTTTATTTTTATTTTTTGTTTTTTAGTATGATTTTGTGGGTCAGTTTTGTTGGTTTCGGTTTCTTCGTTACTGTTTCTGTTATTGTTCTTGATATTTCGTGTTTTACTATTTACATTAATATGAATTATTTGACTTTATAGGTTGATGTCAAACCTGCAAACACTAAAAGTGATAGGTTGGAACATTCAAGTGTTTATGGTAGTGATGTGAAGGGTTATACTCAATCTAGTAAGAAGATTTTTGTGGGAGGTTTGCCACATAACTTAACCGAAGAAGAGTTTAAAGGTTACTTCGAGTGTTTTGGTAAAGTAACAGATGTGGTTATAATTTTTGACAAACAAAATCAAAGATCAAGAGGCTTTGGTTTTGTTACGTTTGATTTAGAGGAGGCTGCAGATCATGTGTTGCAGAATAGTTTTTATGAACTAAAACATAAGAGGGTGGAGGTGAAGCGAGCCGAACCTAAAGATAGGAATGAAAAATACGTGAACTATTATGATTGTTATAGTACTGGTTTGGCTTCTGGTTATTCTAGCTATTTTGGCTTTCAAGCTCATCCATATTATGATTACTCTTACCCCCCGAATGCATATGCTTTACCAATTATTTCATCTACCCATACTCCATTTGGGAACCCTCGGTTTCAATTCCAACATCCTTCTCACTATCATCCTCCTTATTACTTTGGTTGTAATGGACTTTACATGAATGGTTGGCCAAGTGGAACTGTAGACTGGACTTGTCGTAATGACAACTTAGTTGAAGAATATGATAGTGGTACTAACAATTCAATTAGAGGTCGGAGAAGCGGAAACTTATGTAGAAATAACAATGGCGGTGGTGAGATTGATGGTCCAGCATGTTTGAAAGATAGTTCTTCTGATCATCAAAGTGAAGGGATTGATAGTCATCAAAATGGAGAGATTGATGATGCCACAGTTGAAAAAGTAGTTTTGCAGAGGCAATCATCCCAGAGTTCTTGTTGACACTCTTAGTTGTACATTGGATAATCAATCAGGTTAGTGGAAAATTTGTGTTCATTTTCATTTGGAAATTTGTCTTCTAAACTATTCTTGAACTATTGTTAGATTTAGCCTTTGCATCTTCAAACTTTGGGGTATGCTTGAAATTAACATGAACGAAATAAGTAACTTAGGATTTCATATTTCCCTTCGGTTGAAATTAGATGCCTTGTGTTATAGTTTAAATACTATTTTGGTTAATTATGTGTTAACTTTAGTTTTTAAATCAAGTGGCTAATATGGTGTCAAAACAGAATTGACCAAATGGTCTTGTATTTGAATCGCCTTATTGTGTAACTCAAATTATATATTTGGTTCCCATGAGATGATGTGTTAAAACTTAGGGTCCGCTTGGGAGTTTTATGGTAGCGAGTATGAGAATAAACCACCGTAGCGATTTTAAGAGGTTTTTAGTAGTGGTTTTAAAATACCCAACCTGTGCTTGAGAGTTTATTTTCCAACGGTTCTGACAGTTTTTTAAAATGATAAATTTATATATATGCCCATAAAAATACCCAACTTCTCTCAATTCTTGGGAGTTTTGTTTTTTCAATTACAGGGTAAGAGTTCTTTATTTGTTTTCTACTTATTAGTATTTTATAACTTCAAATGTAATAAAGTCTCCTTAGCCTTCTTCGTCATTCTTTGCAGCATCTGGAATGATTGAAAAATTGTAGCCCCATTTCTCCAAGAAAACATCTAGAAATGAGATTTTTATAATATTTTTTTATGATTGCTTAAAATTATTTTATATTTAATATAGTTAGAGATGCACATAATATGGTTAAAATTTTTGTTTGGATATAATTGTGATAGTTTTGTAATAGGTAGGGTATTTGAGGAATAAAATTTCAAAACCAAATAAAACACCCCGATTTAGGGTGTTTTATAAACCTTTCAAAAATACACTATATTGGTTTTGGGGGGTTTTTGAGTGAGTTAAAACCAGTGCATAAAAAATATGGCAAGTAATGATTTTAGAACACCTCAAAACCAGTCTAATTAAAAACCCCTTAAAACCAGTGGAAAAAAAAACTCCCTAAACTCCCAAGCAGAGTTTTTTTTTTTTTTTTTCCACTGGTTTTGTGGAGTTTTTAATTAGACTGGTTTTGAGGTGTTTTAAAACCATTACTTGCCAGAGTTTTTATGCACTGGTTTTGATTGGCTCAAAAATCCCCCAGAATCAGTGTAGTGTATTTTTGAGGGGTTTATAAAACACCCCAAATTGGGGTGTTTTGGTTGGTTTTAAAATTTTGTTCTACAAATATCCTATCCACTATGAAACTATCCCAATTATATCCAAAAAAAGAAAAAAAAATTAACCATATTATGCACGTCGTTAAACATATTAAATGTAAAATAATTTTAAGTAATCATAAAAAACAAAAATTATTAAAATCTCATTTCTAGATGCTTTCTTGGAGAAGCGGAGTTATAATTTTTCAATTATTGCAGATGCCACAAAGAATGGCGAAAAAGACTTTATCACATTTGAAGTTATAAAATACTAATAAGTAGAAAACAAATAAAGAACTCTTACCTTATAATTGAAAAAACAAAACTCCTAAGTACTGGTTAGAGTTGGGGTATTTTTATGGGCATATATGTAAATTTATCATTTTAAAAAACTGTTAGAACCGTTGGAAATTAAACTCCCAAGCACAGGTTGGGTGTTTTAAAAACTGTTACTAAAAACTCCTCAAAACCGCTACGATGGTTTACCCTCAAAATCGTTACGGTGATTTATCCTCATAACCGCTATCATGAAACTTCCGGACCCTTAAGTTCAATTGGTGAGTTCCTTATATATCAATTTGAGCTTTTAGTTCAAGCGGTTACTTAACGCGGTAGATGTTACCTGAGGTGATAGAAGAATCATAACAATGTTTCCCTTTTAAAACCATAGATACTAGGGTGGTGGAAGAATCTTTAACATTGGCTTCCTTTTGTAATAGTCAATTGTGATCTATTAAATGAGCTTCTTCTATTTCAGCTTTATTAGAGTTTTCTTTATATTTAAAGGCCTCAAACATTCATATCTTATTTGGCTAAACTCATTTGTTTAGATTTCAGTGACAAATAAATTTTCCATCACAAGGCCTTGTATATTGTGGTTACTTTCCTCTTCTCATGTTTTTTACTCTTAATTTTCATTTATATTGAAACAATGAGCACAAACAAATGCTTGCCAGTAGACTTTGACAGCCACAATAAAGGTAGCCCAATTGCTCTGGCAATACAATTTATTCAAAACCATTCATTCTTCAGACAAACCCTAGATAAAAATCATTTGATTGTAACATTCTTTTTTAGACTTCTCATATTTATCTAAAGGTATGCAAAAGATTCAATGTAAATACTCTCGATGAAACTTTCTTGGAATACTACCTGTCTCCTTTTTTAATCCTACCCAATTTCACCAATTTAATGGAATGAAATTCCTGGTGAACCTTTGATTTGTGCTATTCTTACACCTTATAATCATGAAATTCCACATGTGACCCCCATTTTTGTGGTTATGCTATGCTAAAAAGCTTCTAGCATGTTAAATGTTTGCCAAGGGTTTAGTTACAGTTTTAATGATCTTTTCAATTACTCAACCTTTTCCTTTTATTTTTTTTTTCGTAATCATAATTGTAAATATATTTAATTCCGACTTTTCCATGTTTAACCAGAATAAATCCTATTTTTTTTCTTTCCTTTTCTCCAATAAATATGATATATCTCTTACCTTTGAAAACTTATGATTTTTATTTGTTTGTTTTAGTGTTTTTTTTAAAGATTTTGTAATTATGTGTTTTAATCTTTTATTAAGGTTTGAAAGTTTAGTATGTTATACTGTAAATCCTAAGTTACTTGTATGTATTTTTTATTATGATTTTATAACCTTAATAAGGAATCTGAGATATATATATATATATATATAAGAGTGCTTAAGATTTATCTTTTGTCTTTGTTTATAAATATTTTTGTTAGTTTTTTTTTTTTTTTATGAGATATGTTTTATTAATAATTCTTATTTGATCTTATATATAATAAAATTATCTACCACTTATTGATGTACTTTTCAAAAGAAAAAAATTCAAAAAATTGGGTTTAGAATATATTTATTATATTGTTTTGTTGTCCCCATTCAAAGTTATAAAAGATGATTGTAATGTAGGAGATCTTTGGTCGCATTGGTATATGGGTTTGAGCTTTTGGAATAGAATTTTGACACTGATGTGTTCGGTAGTTTGTGCTTCTGTAATTTTTTAATGAGCTCCTATGTTACTTTTGTTAGGTTGTGTTTGCAGCATTTAGAAGAAACGTTAATAACAAGGAATGAATGAGCGAGAATGTGTTTTGTTTAATTGAACTTTTGTATGTATAGTCGGCAGAATTGAATGCAATCAGACAGAATAAAAAAGTATTTGTTGCTTCCTTTCATTTTTCTTTGAAATTTAATTAATGCAGTGGGGTATTTTAGTGTTTTAGAAGGTCATGAATTGGTCAATCATGTTAAAAACTGTACTTTGGGCTCATTCTGGGGTAAATTAGCCATTTCGGTAGTTTGTCAATGTTAATTATTGGTGTTGACCACTCAGGGGGGTTATGGTTATTTCTGAAACCTAAGGGGGTATTGTGGTACTTTTGGGGGCTAAATATAAACCCGAGAAAGAACCAAGTATAAAGGATGACATGTTTGAACTTTGAACTCAGAAAGTCAATTAAAAGAACAAACTTTCTTGATCACCAAGCCAACTCCTAAAGATTAACACTATTATATTACCAGTAGTGTACCTAGAAGATTAAAAATATGTTTTGTATTTGTTTCTTTGTCAAGCATATTTGACTTTTTTCAATTTTGTATGGCATTAATGATTGAGATCCTTTTTATTGCATATTCTTTATTACCCATCTCAAGTACTTGCAATACTTTGATAACATTTGACCAAGAGATCATTTTTCTCAACTAATGCACTTGATCTATATTTTTGTTTGTTATCTATGCTTACATTTTAGCCCTTTGATGTTACAGGTATTTTGGTGTTTACCAAATTTACATAAAACATATACTCGTATCGTATGACAAAAGCTGCAAGGAAGGGTGAAAGCATTTTCAGGAAATGCGATTGGCAATATTGTACAGATAAAAACTACTTAGCTTTTGGTTATCTATCTGCCATTTAGTCCATACAAATGGAATGATTATGAACTTTGATTATTTGGTTGTGTTTCTTTCATCAACTTAATTTTTTATTCTTCCTTTTCATGCAATTTGTGTGATACATGCGCATATTGAAGGGATCGTAGTATCTTTTTAGGTGAAAATCTACAAATGTTGAAATTTGCCTACCAGCAAAGATGTGATGAAATCAACAAATGTTTGAAGTTTTTTTCCATGCAAACATGTGAGGTGGCTGTCTTTTTCATTACATTTTAAGTTAAATGTGTCTTATTATCTTTAAAAATTACACCCAAAACAAAATCTCCTCCACTCTCTTTCCTTGTGCCGAAGCCAAAAATTAAAAAGCAAATTATTCCCTATTTCCAAGGACTTACACTTGACATGAAACTAAGTTTGTTGTAACCAAGGTGTTTAATTGCTTTTTTTATTTTTTTATTTTTTGTTTCTGTTTTTTTTTCTTTTAAATTTTTTATTTTTTTTTTATTCTTAATTTTTTTTTTTTTGTTATTTGTTTTTATTTTTTTTTAGTTAAATCGGTTTTGGATTGTTGCTTGAAAGAAACCTATCAACACTTTAGATGCATATGTATTTAATTGATTTCACTAGCTTTGTTTGCGCACTCTTTCAGGCCATATGGGTTCCCAATGAATGAGAATATTTGGGTGATTGTTGTTTTATGGCTTGAATTCAATTAGTGAATAGGGTTTGCCAGCTGCTGGCTTTCATTCTATGTCTCGAGAGTTTACTCTTTCTGTGATTCAAAATCTTATATCATATAACCAGGGCTACAACACAACTAGAGTCTAGAGTAGTCACAGCCTTTTTACATCTTATATTTTGAAGAAAGAGTGAAGAAAAATAGTAAATGTATTCAGAAATCTGGAAAACTAAAATAAAAAGAAATATATTTTCTATAGAATGCAACTGTCCAAAGTAGATGTAGAAAGAATCTTATCGTTGAATGGGACAGGTCTTGTTTCTCCTAGACCGTGACATTACAGAGACGAGAGAGCAACTGGAGAGGATTGTAAAGCGAGTTAAAGAGAGTTATGAGGTTTAGAGTTTGCAGAGAACTGGCATGAATGGTTTAATGGAGAGTGCACTTTATTGGTGTGAAATTTTTACCATCTACGAAAAAAGATAAAGAAGCCAATCATCTTTTAATCCTTTGCTACAATATAGCACAAACACTGTTCTGTGGTCGCTCTCAGACGGGTTGATATCTACAGTGCTTTTTTTCTCTTGGCTCTTTCTGTGATCTTATTAAGATTTTGTTTGGATTTTTTGTTCCCCATGTGAAATACCGACCAAACCCCCCCTTCATTCAATTGCATTACTCAGGTTTAATTTTATCTGTTTATTGTGTTTTTCTTTCTCTCTGCTCACGACGAAAATGACAAGCTCTTCTTCTTTACTTGGAAAATGCGAAAACACCCTTGATAACTCTTTTACTTGAGATTCTACAAAATTGTAACTGCGAAATTTTTTATTTAAACTAGCCGAAACGGACCAAAAAGAACTATCCATATTGCAACAATGCAATTGCTAATGACAATTTAAATGATCCCTAAGGCCGGAGCCGGCCAATCTTGATTATAACAAGTATATGCTGTAGCATATGCCTAAAACTATGAACAAGACACTAATTGGCGGATCAAACATGGGACTCTCTAATTGTTTATAAGAATGAATAATATCTTCTTGTGCAAAACAAGAATAAGAATCATGATTGACCCCAAGGTGGTTCTAGTTACTGGCTGTGCCAAAGGTGGCATAGGTTATGAGTACTGCAAGGCATTTGCCGAGCAAAATTGCCATGTTGTGGCGTCCGACATCCCTCAACGCATGAATGATGTGGTAGAACTTAGTTCCGAAAAAATCGAGGCACTTGAGCTAGATGTTACATCAGATGAAAGTGTATCATCAGCCGTGGAAAAAATCATATCCAAGTATGGTCACATCGACATTTTGATAAATAATGCAGGGATAGGAAGCACTGGTCCTCTAGCGGAACTTCCACTAAGCATAGTAAGCAAGGCATGGGAAATTAACACACTGGGGCAACTGAGATTAGTGCAACAAGTTGTGCCCCATATGGCCTCAAGGCGCAGTGGGAGCATAGTAAATGTAGGAAGTGTTGTGGGGAGAGTTCCAACGCCATGGGCAGGTTCTTATTGTGCTAGCAAGGCTGCAGTTCATGCAATATCTAGTACTTTGCGTCTCGAATTAAGACCTTTTGGTATTAATGTAGTGATTGTGATGCCTGGTGCTATAAGATCAAATTTTGGTAGTAATAGCATCGAAAAATTGGGGAACAATGACTGGAAACTTTATAAAGATTTTAAGGATTCGATCGCGGAGAGAGCGAAAGCTTCCCAGGGCGGTAAAGCAACGGATGCAACTGTGTTTGCAAGGCATGTAGCAAAGAAAGTTTTGAGTCCTAGACCACCCAAACAGATTGTATTTGGTCACATGACAGGTTTGTTTGCAGTTCTTTCATGGTCTCCCATTTGGGTTAGAGACTTGTTCTTTTCCAATCTTTTCAACTTAAACAAGAAACTCTAAGGATTTTTAGGTGTTTCTTATTAGTTGAATTGTTCTTCCAATTTTCTTTGTGAGTTAAAACTTTTGAAAAGCTACAGGACTTGAGTTGTCTTGTGCCATAAATTTGATGTATGGAAGAGTTGTTATTGGTTGGAGGGAGTTAAATGCGATGGACTTAATAAAGAAAGTTTTTCAGCTAGTGATAAATCCTAAGCTTTACAAACCATGAGCCTTATTCATGAAACCTGCAGAACCCAACAATTACTACGCTCTACAGAAGAAACCAGGAGGTAAGAATGTAGCTGTACTGGTAACTTTTATATACTTCTAAGAATCCTGGTCATATGCAGAATTTAGTTTAAGTACTAATAAATAAATTGAAAGACTGCTAAAACGAGGCGACATTGTAATATCCAACCTGTTTCCTCAATATGACACTGCAAAAATTACAGAACCCAGAAGTCACTTTCTATCAATTTAAAAAAAAAAAAAAGGTTTATATCATTGTTAAATTATCACATATGATGCCAGGCCAGCACAATAGGGTTTTGGAACAATTTTCAAGAACTTGTTTTTAAGTGGAACCCAACAACATTAGGCTTAAATATATGCATATATTTATGGAGTTACCAGCAAGATGGAGATTAATTATTGAAACAGATCCAAAGTTACTAAATAAGTAAAGTGGAATTTAAACAAGAGTTCCTAAACAGAAAGTTGGAATATCAATGCTTATAGGCAGCGAGGGCAAAACGGTATTTACAAAGCAGAGAGAATTGGGCTGGGAACTCAATTCTAATAAAGGTGAATGACAGGCCCTATTAAAAGCAGACAATTGAAGAAGAAAAGAGGCACCACCAACCGAGCCTTCCCCATCTGCTTCCCACCAAAGGAGCGGTGAATGTTGATAATGAAAGAAAGAAAAGCAAAATTTGCTGAGGCACCCACAAAGTTCTTTTGTTAGACCATGCACTATTTCTAGTAAAATGTTATTGGCCTGTAGTGCTGTTTGGGTGGGTTTACTCATCATTACTACAATCAAAAAGAAATAAATCTCTCTCTCTTCTCCTTCATTTTTCCCTTACTTCTGAACATCTTTCCCTCCCCACTCTCTTTTGAAACCACATCATTCTCTATAGAAAATCTGTCCCCATGAACTTGGTCATGCAAATTTGCATGCACCATATTTTATATTTAAACACCAATAAGGTACCGAAACTCCTCAAAAGAATGAAGCACACTCCTCAGTTAAACACAACAATCTGTTGCAAAATGAAATGCCCTTTTGCATATTTAATAACAAACATCTTCCTCTAAAATCTGAAATATATATTTCCCATAATAAGATCCATTAGTGTGCCCAATTTTGGAAAGAAATTAATGAGGGAAGTTTTAGTTAGTATGATTGTTATTGTCATTAGCACCCTGGCCTATTATATTGGTAAAATAAGCGGAATTGCCACAAGTAAACAAAGATATAAGGAAGTATGTGATGAGTTGTTAAAATTTGTTGGGTTTGAAAGTGGACCTAAAAGAATTTGAGAGGTATCGAGAGTTGGGTTAGCAATATTCTGCGAGTATTATAAGAATTTGACGATAGAGAAGGATATAAAGTGTTTCATTCTACAAAAAGCATGTTCTTTTAAGGGCCCCTTCACTATCATTCAAGGAATATTTGAGTTAGACCTTATTATATATTACTATATATCAAAGCTTTTGCATACAGAAACGTGATCACTGCCCACTCATGGCATTGGGGGGTCATTTTTTGACCAGTAAACTCAATTCAATCCCCAATATTCTATTTAAATTTAAGTAAAGATCCGATCCCATTAGGAAAACTGTTGGATAAGTAAAGGATTTGTTATTTAAACAAATAAAAATGAAAGGTAATAGACTTAAGAGGTGCGAGCTTGATAATTTATGGATGATAAGACATGACACACAGAATTAGGACACAATTTTTGTTATCTTCCCTCCAACTTCGTCCGGGAGCCCCTACCTCTAACTTTTTGTCTAGAAGCAGGTGTTGACTTTATCTAGGATCTAGATGAAGCAGAAATAAAGATTTTTCACTGTTTCTTTCTTGCACATCATTCAATAATTCTAAACATCATTAGCTAGAGAGTGACATAATCATCGACAAGTTTAGTTTGTTTNAGGAAAACTGTTGGATAAGTAAAGGATTTGTTATTTAAACAAATAAAAATGAAAGGTAATAGACTTAAGAGGTGCGAGCTTGATAATTTATGGATGATAAGACATGACACACAGAATTAAGACGCAGTTTTTGTTATCTTCCCTCCAACTTCGATCGTCTGGGAGCCCCTACCTCTTAACTTTTTGTCTGGAAGCAGGTGTTGACTTTATCTAGGATCTAGATGAAGCAGAAATAAAGATTTTTCACTGTTTCTTTCTTGCACATCATTCAATAATTCTAAACATCGTTAGCTAGAGAGTGACATAATCATCGACAAGTTTAGTTTGTTTGATTTTTCTTTAAGATAATTATTTTACATTACAAATTTATACACGTGAAATCCTACAATCATGTTATTCACATGATTGTATTGTGAGTACAATAATATAAGGATCATCAACTTGTTTTCATTTGCATACATTATTTTTGTTTTTCTTCAAGACTCGATTGTCATCATCCTTTATTTTTGTTCAGTTTACACGCTATAGAAATAAAATACACGCCTGAAACTTCAACGCATCCATCTTGTAGTAATTAAATTTTGCTGGCTCATAAGTTTGGTTTGGTATTTAATACTATTCCACCCAAATAAAAAACAAAAGAGTTTGGCATTCAATACTCTTCTTTAGGACAACTTAAGTTGCTATACAAACATGCTGTAAGAGATCAGTTTGTTTCCTACTTTTCTTGTGAAAATAAAAAAAGGCCCCCCTGCTACAGTTTACATTTAAATAAGTGTAAAGCTGGTAAAAATTATTATAACAAATTTATGTAAACCCAACTCAGCCGACATATTATAAATTTGTCACCAGCCCTTCTACACTATTATTGTAATCTTATATATGCGTAATTGAAAATTTGTAATGACAAAACACTAACTAAACTGGAATAGAGATAGTTATATAACTAGATTATTATATTATAATAGGGGAGATGTGGGTCGTGCGTGGCAGTGGCACATTGAACGTTGCAGAATGCAGAGCACTAGGTAAAAATCAATTTGAGTATGATTTGCCGTGATGTTAAAAGCAGATTGTCGAGAAACGGCGTCGTCTGTGATGCTACTACTACGTAGAAATGGTGGCAGATAGCCCGAGTACGTAGCTGTTTTTCTTGAGCTGCAAACCGGTAGGGCTAGTTGAGAGTATTGTGAATTGACGGGATGGACAGTTTGTCTTCTGCCTCTAGAAATCTATTCAAAGCCTGAGAAACATTAAAGACTTTACTGTACGTTGTTACGTGTCATATTGATAAGACGCACCCACTAAATCCACTGGTTTATTAAGAATAATCAATTCAAGAGAGGGGAGAAAATAACATGGTTATTAACTGCTGGGTTTCCGGGAGTATTGAGTTTTTTTTTTTAACGATAGGTTGTGAGGCTTCTTGGGTTATTATAACTACTTGTATCGTCTTTGCGTAAGCTTGTTATATCTATAGCTCTTGCTCTTTTTAATATTTTTAATGCATCTTCTATCTTTTGTGAGGTTTTGAGAGAACACTCTTAAAAAAAGATAAGGAAAGGCAAGGAGGGAAGGGGAGCGTAGGGTAAAGCAAAAAAATTAAAGAACAGGTCTTCTCATACACAGATCCCTATGGAATGCAGGAATGATGCCCGGCATTGCTTGCTGGAACTCCTTCTTTTGTTTAGTTTAAAGGAACTTGCTTTGTTCTCTTTAGAAATCTTTTCAGTGTGAAAGAGAGAGAAAATGAGCATAGATTTAGTTGTGCAGTAGTTTGGATTTGTTTAGTTGAGAATTTAGATTTGTCCAATCCTTGTTCAACAGAAATTAAAACCAAAAAAAAAAAAAAAAAAAAAAAAAAAGATTTAGGATTAGCTTTGAAAATGGGGGTGAGAGCAAACAGGTTTTGGTTTATGATTAGTTTATTTTTTCCCCAATGATTGAGTTGCCTTGCAACAAGAGAAACTTGTCTAGAATCTCTTACAGTTGGAGTAGCAACTTACAGAGAACATGAAGTCCATCAACAATGACGATAGCAACAATAAGAACCACAACCTTAACAACAATAGTTGGTTAGGCTTCTCTCTTTCACCTCACATGAAAATGGAGGTTCCTCAGGACCCTCATCGACTTCAACAAACACAGACTCTTTCTGGTTCTTCTTCTTCTTCTTCTCATATTCCTACAGCCATCCCAACAAACTTTTTTCAACCCCAACTACAACCTCTTAATTACAGCCTTTACTATGGCGTTGAAGTTGATCATCAAAATACTGCCTTGTACCCTCCTTTGCCTGTCATGCCTCTCAAGTCTGATGGCTCTCTTTGTTCAATGGAAGCTCTAACCAGGTCTCAGCAGCCACAAGGTTAGGCTCAAACTAATTTCAACTAGCATATTCTTTTCATTAAAAGGTTGTTTCTTCTTTGACAAAATGAAAAATGTTAAACATTTTGCTTAAAACCTCTGGACTATTTTGTCTTTGACTTTTAATGTGAAGGAATGGTAACAACTTCAGCTCCAAAACTGGAAGACTTCTTTGGTGGTACTTCCATGGGGACACATCACTATGAAAGTAATGACCGAGAAGCTATGCCTCTTAGTTTAGACAGCAGCATCTACTTCCACCAGAACCCTAACCATGTCCCTAATGACCAAAATCTCCTAAACCAACTCCATGAAAATTCCAGGTTCCAACAATACCAATATTTTACTCCTTCGTATATGGGAGACAACAAAGATAAACAACCCCAGGTAGCAGACTGCAATCTACAGCTCCCAACAATGGCGGATGATGCTATGAAGAACTGGGTTTCAAGAAACTACGGAACTGACCATGCAATGCAGCAGAAAATGGTTTATTGCATGAGTGATAATGGAGCTGAATCTATTAATATTGGTGCAATGCCATACAGGAATTTACAGTCTTTGAGCTTAACCATGAGTCCTGGCTCCCAGTCAAGCTGTGTCACTGCTTCTCAGCAACTCTCACACACTATGACTGACTCTATCACCATGGAAACTAAGAAAAGAGGTTCTGAAAAGGTGGATCAGAAGCAAACTGTTCATAGGAAATCCATTGATACATTTGGCCAGAGAACCTCTCAGTACAGAGGTGTCACAAGGTTTTTTGTTTTTTCCCCTATTTCCTTTTTATTTAAAAAATAAATCTTTATTTTATGTTATTTTACCTTTTATTATGCATACTAGTGTTCCCTTTTTTACAGTATTTTGTCTTATGCCTGTGTTTTCTTCTTAATATTGTTCTGATTATTTTAAGTGCATTTTTTCAGGCATAGATGGACTGGTAGATATGAAGCTCATCTCTGGGACAATAGTTGCAAGAAAGAAGGGCAGAGTAGGAAAGGAAGGCAAGGTTAGTGAAGAAAATAAATGGCTTCTTTAACATAGGCCACATGACTGTTTTTTTACCTTCAGTGGCTCTGCATTTTCTGGTCACTTTTTGTTCTTGACCTGACTTATACTATGTATATGACTAATTTTTGGTGTTTTATGCTTGGCTGGGGGTGCCCTGTGAATTCAATGATGATTCTCAGTTTATCTGGGTAAGCCTTTTTTTTAATGTATAATTGTTAAGTATTTTAACATATTCTATTCTTTAATATCATGTGATCAAGTAATTCCAAAATATTTATTTCAGGAGGTTATGATATGGAAGAGAAAGCTGCAAGAGCTTATGATCTAGCCGCTCTCAAGTACTGGGGACCCTCCACACATATAAATTTCCCGGTAATGATTTTAGTTCATCTAAACATATTCCTATATTTATAAAGGTCTTTTTAAAATTTTCTTACTAATTAATGTAATTATGTTTCTTCATTAGCTGGAAAATTATCAACAGGAACTTGAAGACATGAAGGGCATGACCAGACAGGAGTATGTTGCTCACTTGAGAAGGTAAATCTTTGCATCTAATTATTCTATTGTTATGTATTCAACCTCATTTTTTCTTCTAAATAATTAATCCCCTCTATGCAGGAAAAGTAGTGGCTTTTCTAGGGGAGCTTCAATGTACAGAGGAGTAACAAGGTCCTATTTATTGTACTAATATATCGTTTTGTACTTGGTTGAATTAGCTAATTCTGGCTACTTACATGAATGCATAATTATTTCTGATTCAATTTTAGCAGGCATCATCAACATGGAAGATGGCAAGCTCGAATTGGCAGAGTTGCAGGAAACAAGGATCTTTATCTCGGGACTTTCAGTGAGTTCTAATGAATCTTGAATTTATTAGACAAAATTCTCGTATAGTTTATTGAATACTGTGTGTATTTTCAACATTCAATCATGTTGTCTTGTTTGTTTACAATTACAATTAAGAGATCAGAAAGGATATGCTTTATGGTCACTCCGAAAGGCTAATCTTTGAACTACTCTCGGGATCTTTGAACTCTTTTTAGTCACTGTACATACGGCTGAACTTTGGGATTGTATAGTGCTAGTAGTCAGTGTGGACTAAGCTTTTGCTAAAGCTCGCCTGCCCAGAAAAATAAAGCTGTTTTAAGGCTGTTGCTGCTACACGAATACACATACAAAAAGATATTCCAATCTAAAGCTAAAATTAGTGGTGTTTTGTTAACTTATTATATATTTAGACCTGGTTTTATCATTATCTAATTATATTTTTCATTGAACTAATTAAAATTTTAGGCACTCAAGAGGAAGCAGCTGAAGCCTACGACGTTGCAGCTATAAAATTTCGTGGGATAAATGCTGTGACTAACTTTGACATAACTAGGTATGACGTGGAACGAATCATGGCTAGCCCCACCCTTCTTGCGGGAGAACTCGCTCGGCGTAACAAGGAGATTGTTCCTGTTCCTATTATTGAGGCCACTAATCACAACCACCACCCTTCTGCTCATGGCGGCAACAATGTTGAAATCATACCCATTCAAAAGAACAACGTTGAAGGTTTCATGTATCAATCAACATCATCTCAGCAACAACTTGAGCAGAAAGTGCCAATGATCATTGATAATTACAAGGCTCAAACTTTCTCAATGGCAGCTGAAAGTGTGATGGGGATGGATATATTGAGTTCAGGTCAACAAGAGGTGGAGGATTCAACCAAGATGGGGAATCGTCTCTCCAGTGCCTCTTCTTTGGTGACCACATTGAGCAGCTCGAGAGAAGGCACCCCAGATAGGAGCAGTGTCCCAATGCAGTATGTAATGCCTCGTTCGGCGGCCAAGATGTTCAACAGTCCCACAACCACTGTGAATTCTTGGATTCCTACTGCTGAAAGGAGGCCTCCTCCAATCTCAATGCCTCTCAACATACCTGTTTTTGCTGCCTGGACCGACTCCTAGACTGGTCTTTTGATGTAGTTTCAACGTCTTTTTTGCATGAAACAAAACAGAAAGTTGAAGTGGATGGGTAAATGCTAGCTTAATGGTGGTCTATGTGGGACACACTTGAACAAGAACAAATTGTTAACTTTATCCTTTTAGCCTTATATATGTTATGAACATGTCATTAAAAAGAAATGGTGGGGAGAAGCTTTAAAGACATTATGATTGGAGTCTATGAAATGATTTCCGTAATATGGGATGACCCAATTTCATAATTAGAGTCTACTTTATTCTGTTCTCTTAAGTACAGGGCCAGCTCAATATGTATCCTCCAATAACATTTGGTAGAGATGAGATTGGTCATTTGCTTTTTAGTCTTTGACCACACCATATCTTTGTTCAGTGTTCACAGTCACAGCAACCCCTTCTTTTCTACGTCCATAGAGAAATGATTACATATTCTATTTAATCAGCTTTCTCCAAAGGTAAAAGAAATTTCCTCCCCCATAATTCAATCCAATAGTCCAAAAAATATGTAGAAAGATACCCCATCCATCGTGTTAGAAATCTTAAAGGTTTAGCTTTCCAAACCCACTAAACAGCTGTAACAGCAATAGTGCCATGTTCAAATGCAGGTTTCTATGACCAGTCAAAGTTTCGCACGTGCAGTATAATTTGGTTTAATTCCTCCCCTTGCACATGTCAGCCTCAATGAAACTTGTAATTCAATAAAGAGTAATACTACATTTACTTTACTCTTTTATACAATTTTCATTATATTATGATGTGGCATATGCCACAACCACATAAATTTTATTATAATATTAGAAATTCAAAATAATTAAGGGTGCGTTTGGTGTAGTATTTTGGATAGGATTTTGAGGATAGCATTGGATTGTTGGATAGAGGAGTATTACGAGGTAAATTTGAAAAATTTATGAAAAAGCCCTTAGGTTTACTAATTTAATTAAAGACCCTACTATATAAAATGACAAAAACACCCCCACCACCTGCAGTGTCAGATTCCGGCCGCCACCGTCGGAATCTGGCCGGAAAATTTCGTTACGGCACAGACCAATCGGATATGTGCCGTAACGCATCATTATGGCCTTTTCCGGCCAGATCTACGGCCTGTTATGGCCGTCGACGGCCGGAAAGGCCAAAACGACTGCCATCTTTGGCCGTCAGATCGGTGTAATTCCGGCCATTTAGGTCGGAATTTAGGCCGTTGTACAGATTCCGGCTATCACCGGCGGTGGTTGCCAGAATCTGACAAGTTGGGTTGATGAGAGGGTTTTTGTTAATTTTTTAAAAAAAAAATCAGGGGGCATTTAGTGAAATTAATAACCTTATGGGGTCTAAAAGTAATTAAAAAAAATAGGGTAATATTTCTGGAATAGTGTGCCAAACATTATTTGGAGAATAGGATTGAGAATATGGATAAAAATAGGGAGCCAAACGCACCCTAAAATTTTATGTGGTTGTGTCATATGCCACATAATGATGTAATGAATATGGTATAAAAGAGTGGTGTAAATATAACATTACTCTTCAATAAATTACCGATCAAATTCAAGTTTTGTATAGATTCCTCCATGAATAAGGTTGGTCAAACTGTTGTGCATTTAAATTGGTCGAAACAAAAGAAGTAGAAATTGAAATAATGAATGAGCATTAATGAACACTGAAAAATGGCTTCACTCAGTCGTTGATGAGTACAAAGTGAACATGAATATATCATAGAATATAATAACAAATTAAGTTAATTACAAATAAATTCTCTCACCTGCAAAAATGAATCTTTAGATAACAAATGGTTCAACAATATAATAGTACAATATGCCTTAAATTCTCACACAAGAGGTAAAACTCATCATCTAACTTACCATTATTCATTAGGGTTTAAATTATACAACACTAACAAAGTAGTGCTACATAAAGACACAGCCATAGTTCTCTGCTTCGGAGCCTGCTATTATTATTATGGTATGGACAACCCTCTTCCTTATACCAGTAAAACTGATAATGAAATTAATTGAAGTGCAGGAATATATTAACATTTGTACATGTTTCAACAGACTCTATGCTTTTTTTTTTTTATATAAATTAAAGGAAATTAAAAAAAAAAAAATTATACTGGTAAGTATTTTGCTTTTCAAACTCCAAACAAGGATAAAATTAAGCTCAAGTTAAACATGGTGCATTTGTGCATCCCTCATTTTCATGGTATATAATAATAATAATTGAGTTGTTTCTCAATTTGAAATGAATATAGATTAAAAATCCAAAGGGGTGACTATTTGATGGAATTTTGTTTTCTCTACTTTTTTTTCTTTTTCTTTTAATTGATTGACTGACATGGAGGTTTGCACTGGATATCCAGAGAGTGTAATAAATGTAGCGGGAAAATTAGGTTAAAAAGGATCAGTCATTTCATTGCATTGAAAACTTGGTATCACAATGCTTCATGATGGCAACCAACAGCCCATATGCTGTAGAAGAAAATTACCATTTTCATATTGTGGCATGGTCAGATCTTAATCACAACTTACTTCTGTTAACAACAGAATTTTCATCAAGTGATAAACATGCTTTTTCATGTGAGATTAGAGGCTTTTTGAGTGGAAGACCATTATGAGTTGGCAAGATTGACAATTAATTAATTTGCTTAGACTCCACTGACTCCACAGCCACAATAAGTGGCTGCTGAATTGATCTGCGTCTTGAACAACATGTAGATCTCACTTTATAAAAAGGATGTACGCAGAGAATGACAGGAAAATTTAACAACCCTTTTGCGGCACACCTATTTTGACATAAACAACTCCCGATCATTGTGTGAAAACAGGCAATTTGTCCCTATTAAACCAGTGATCACTTCTGATTTAGATGCCTTTACTGAAGTGGGCGTGCCTTATTGATATCTAAAAAGCAAAAGGCATAACCAAAATGAGTGGCCTAACTTAGGCTTAAGCAGACAAAGAAACAATAAAACATGTAGCTGGGGAATTATACAGAATGTAGTACAACATAAATACAATAGTTAAGTCAAAAGGGTTTGTGGAAATTATCAGAAAGTTAGCATATAATTGTTTTCAATTTCATAAAAGGTTCTGTACGACTTGATTAAAGTTTCTTCAGATATTTCATATATGAATCATGTCAAAAGTAAACACTGTTTATGTTTTCTTTTATAAAGAAAAACAATTTTGGTTTATCATGGAGATGGTTGAAGCTGTAAACACTAACAAGATAGAATAGCCTGTCATTAATCAGAAAATTGTCGGTGAAACCTTCTTGGACGCTTGCTAGACTAGCATTTGGAAAGTTACTGAAGAAAGAATAACTTGAAAGCTCCATCCACATTTGATTTGATGGCATGAAATGAAGTTCTTCTGTAGCTTGGTGAAATTCCTTTTGCAGGTTAAACGAACTCTGCTAGCTTTGTTTTATATTATATATATTTTTCTAATATATGGTCTCCACAAACAGCAAACCAAACTTTCTTTTCAAAGAAAATGTTGATGTTATTCAAGTTTTGGTGGCATTTTCAGTTGGTTTATTTGACTACCAATACCAAGAGGGTCCTGTGGCGATAGCGTTTGAATAATCATACACCACAAGTGTCTGCGCATGGTTGTTAATTATAATAAGGCACCATTTACCCACCGATCCCCATGATTGTCTCCTTGGTACAATTAAATTATCATAATTGAGTTTCGGTACATTTAATTCATGATTAAGCCATGCATAAACAGTGGAAAGTAAGATTGAGAATCGAAATGAAATCTGGTTTAGGTGAACATGATGTTAATATTGGTAGTCTTAATTTTGATGACAGCATGCATATTGTCATTATCAGATCTAATGTATTATCATTTGTTTAATTTAATGATGATGTTGCCTTGCAAACTACAGATTTTTTAACTTTAATCCCTGCACATATCAAACCTTTACTATATTAAATCATCTTTTAATCTACTTTTTACTCACTAATTCGTATATGTCATGATTTGAAAATGACCTACACCATCAAATATCAATGTTTATTCAAATTGTTCGTGCATGTTTTTTCCACCAAGTAAATTACAGGGTGTAAGTGGCTAATTAAAAAATTAAGTATTTCAAAATAATAAAGCATATTTAGAATTTTTTTTTTTTTTTACAAATAAAATATATTTAAGACTTAATAATATATATATATTTTTTAAATTACTTATTCTTCAAAAGAGGTGTTCGACAATCTCTTCCACCAAATTTCACCCGTGGTAGATTATCAAAACCGCGATCTATTTACTTTATAGAAAAAAATTCCTAAGTGCTATTGTTGACTAAGGAAAACACCAAAATAACATTGATGATGCTTCCATTTTTTGCAATTATATATATGCCCACGAATATTTTAATATTTGACCGTTATATCTATGTAATTTGATTTAAAAAAAAAATTAATGTTTCTTAAAAAAAATGCATAAAACAATTTATCAAAAACATTTACTTGTATTTTTTTGTAAATTGAAAATTTAATATTAACAACAACAATTTTTTTATTTAAAAAAAAAGTGATCGTTAGTTTCGATGATCTAATAATGGTGGTTTTGACATTGATCGGTGGACACCTCTTTTGGGAAAAAAAGTTATTTTTTTTAAATAATATTAGATGTTAAATATATTTTATTTAAAAATTCTTTTCTAAATATTTTTTATTATTTTGATATTTAATTTATAATTATGTGCTTTAACATAAAAGGTTGTTTGTGGCCTTTTTGTATTTTTAAAGAATTAACAAGAAATAATAAAAATACAGCAAAACAGATTATTAATTAAGAAGGGTCCACCATTGGCTAGGGTCTAATTGTGGATAGTTGCACTCCTTTTCTTGGACTTCAACCACACTTTCTGAGTAACAGTGAGTCAACCTGCAACCTCCTTACGAGAGCCCACTCCAAAGAGCATCCCCTTGTGGCCTTGTCACCACTAAAGTTAAAGAAAGAAGACCAAGGGTAAATTTTGTAGAGAAAATGTTTGGTAGTCAAGCATCCAATTGGTTAGTGAAAACATGCATGTTTAAGAAACATTTCAAGTGATTAGAATAAAGAAATTGAAGCAACAGAATTTAATAGAAAAATCAGATTTCAAAAATGCAAAAAAATTAAGGAAAACAATGTTTTGGTCTGACATAGATCATGTGTTAAATGTTATGCCTAAAAATATAGGGCTGATACAAGACTCAGTCAGCATAAAAAGTCAGAGCTTAGGTAGGCCCGCAGCCAGTCAGAGGCAGCCATGTCATACAATGACAGGGGCGGCATGCTCGTGTTAGGGCAATGGGTGCACGTCAGACCA